AACAACACAGATTGAGCAGAACTCAGTCATTTGCATTCCACAGCAATAACTGTAAATCATATAATAGATAAAAGCAACAGGAAAGAATACGTTCAAACAATACAGTAATAGAAATTGTCAATCACTAAATGTGGTAAACAAGCAATGCTGACACTCCAGACAACTTCGACTTAATTAAGCTCATTTCAATGATAATGTCACCGTTTTGAAATCTTCCTCACTGATGAATCGAAACGATGAAGTGTATACAACATCATGTCAAGTGTGAGTTTATCAACTTCGATAGGTATGCAAATGACTCAGACTGAGAACACCAAATTCATGTGGTCAGTCAGCATAAGTTAAATATTTGAACGACAGAATTGCGTTTAGGAGACGAGCACAAAGAATGTAAGACATGGATGCAGTTCGTGTTTGATCTGTGCACAATTGCCATCCGGTCATTAGGCAAAATAGTCTGATGTGTCTACATTCCCGCTGACTTTGGTGCAACTTACTTAGACTGGCTGACTTGACCCACGTGAATCAAGCTGACTAACTAACCGTCTATTGATTTCACAAAACAGCAGACCAAGCTGACTGTCGTACAAGCCACACTCGGTGGATGGTCAAAGAAGCAATTCAGTGAACAATATACACAGACTGTATGTACATCACAAGGAACAGTAGAAAGGGTGAAATTCCTCTTCTTCATCTCCTTCTTCTTATTGCTCTTCCTAATACTTACGAAGTTAGTTGAAATATCAAAGTGAGCATGGATATTGAAGGCAGATCGTTGAGGATGGAGTTCGCGAACAATTATTGTTGGACAGTCTTCTCTTAACTGTATGGCTCAGTTGTGAAGTTTTCGTTGTCCTCCACGACAATGTCTTCACTGCATTTGTCAATATGGAGTGGCTGATGCAACTACTAACGAGTTTGTCAACTATCCCTCCTGATGAGAAGAGCTGAGAGACAAAGCCAGTATCAATATTCACTCACACCTGTGTGGCTCTCTGTCAACAGATCATCGACAATCATTATTACTACCACTGAGACTACTGAGACTACTGAAACTACTACTCACTGCTCTTCTTCATCCACATAGTCTGAATTACATAAAGTAGATTTCTAACTAAATCAGTATACAAATTATTGAATGAGAAAGTGACTTGTACAATTTTTGTCAGCTCTAATTACAACAGTGTTGTTTACGAACTCGTGATATATTGAATCGTACGATGATAGATAGCTGTGCTGTTTTAGTAATTAGGCGACCAGCTAAATACTATCTGTAATCAGTGATCACCAGTCTACATATGAGAGAGTGATTCTTGTAGTCTGTTTCACCATCGTACCATTCATTTGTTTTCATTCAATACTTGTGTATGGTGAAGTATTTTGAGAGAAGAAATACTCTTTACTAATTAGGTCACATTCCTGTGTATTTTGTAGATGTTCACAAATCACACAAACATTTTCATTCAGTTGAGTCTACTTCCTCTTTACACAATTAGCATCACGTTGTTAAAAGAGAGTAGAGGAGGGAAGGATCTCTGTGTGATGCGTTGAGATATCAGAGTAGATGGCTGCGAGAAATGGTGGTCGGATTCGTGGAACTGACATGGCTTCTCGCATCACGTGATAACAGTGAGAATACTGGTTATCACACTGAGACGAGACCACTCACAGTTTATCGTGCACCGTCTTCTAATACATCTCAACACTTTTCGTGAGATATTCATCGAAGTGAGTGCTGAATACACCTGTTCGTCTTCTATGATTTGTGTTAGCTTTTGTGGGGAACATTTTGAGAAATTAGAATCAAGAATATCGTAACGAAGATGATGATTTCAATCATATAATCAAAGCACACACCAGATAATAATTTGAGAGCTACCAGTCACCGTGGTAGATTCAAAGCAAACGTGATCCATCTTCTTTACCTTATGAAGGCCTGTTATGTGGAGTGTGTTCGCTCAACATTTGAACAGCGCTGATCACAGAGTATGACAATAGCCTCTAGTTTCCACTTGGTTGATCGATGCATATATCAACCTTGGTTCTCCGTGTCATATGTCTGAATGAAGACCTAGTGAATATATTCCACGGAACACTGATGTAAGCTGGATATTCTGAATATTTACAAACACCATTCCTACTATCACCTGAGTCATTTGACAAAATTTCTGCTCGATGAATGTTGCATTGAATATTTCTATCCGTATTGAGAGGACACAATTTCTCAGATCTTCCTTCTGTTAACTTCGATTGAACTGTTCAGTTTACTGTTCTTCATCTATTGCAGTTTCGCTGACTTATTCACACGAATCAGGTTTAGTGACAGTCATTGTACAACGAGTAAGCCTAGTTTGAAATGTTATCGGAGTGACTATCTATTACCCTGAGAATTCTGAGGTTCCGAAAGCAACTGCACATTCTGCAAGTCATTTTGACGTGGCACACATTCTCAGACATCATTTGTGAATGTTATTTACAGGCAGTGAAACGTCGTTGTTCGACGTGCTTTCAGAACATAGCGTCACACAATCTGCAATGGCACTGCTGGCATTTCCCGCCATAAACCGATATAAGTAGGTATACATTGAAGTGACTTTGCATTGGTTACTCAATATTTTCAAATTTAGCCGTTTCACATTATGATGGATGTTATTCTTATATCCTATCAGTATTTTGTAAGACTATTCCGTCATTATGTTTCTGAATGAAAACTGATTGTGTCTCCAACACCACTTTCAGTATCACCTTGACATATCACTTTTCTTCAATGAGGATTAATAATCCGGTGTTTATGATCTCTCTGTCACCGATGTTCGAGTCAGTATCGACCGTTCAGAACAAATGTGGAGCCTGCTTCTCGATAGCTGTGGTATCCTCATGTGAAAATATGAAGACGGATCTGGCATTGAACTCCAACTAAATCGCATAAATTACTGTCAAGCAATAACAGTCTATGGTCACCAGTAATTAGAGTAGAATGATTATTGATATTCATTTGATTTTTGAAACTTATCGTGTTGCGTTGAAGTTTCCGTAACGGTTTGATTGATTTTGTAGTGTTAGGTACCAGGACACAAGCTCAAGCCTCCCTATTCACCCGAGCTACGGGCAGGAATTTGTTCTCACTTAAACCTTTGGTTGATGAAATTATTGATAAAATGAGTGTTGAGAATGTTGATGTTCATATGCATAGTTTCAGAAATAGCCGTCGGAAAGACTTTCAAATGACGGGAAATAAGGAGATAAGATGGCACGAAAGTTGGAATTAGAAGAGGCGTTAAGTCAGCTCAATTCTGAGCAAGACAATAAGTCCGAGGTGAGAGACGAGTTCGTGTCAGGCTTGAGGGAATCTCTCAGCTACACTGTATTTAGTATTGGCATGTCAATGTGCACGACATAATGTATGTTGACGGTCATTCTAGTGCATATGGAATATCTTTCAGCCTGTTTTGGAAAGTAATCGAGAGCGAATTGAGTGAGGTAGGAAAGAAGTTGACTTATATTCATTTCTGTCGAGTAAAGGCAAGAAGAGCGATTGAAACATGTGAAGCGCTTCCTCCGGACGTCAGCTATGAAGGATCCATGGAGACACTGCATGATTCATTTGGACAAGAATATAGAACTGCTCATTCTTTTATCATTGAACTTATAAGGGATTCTCAACCCATTATCATGACTGCAGATGTCTTCCTTATTTTGATATAAGACCCCATAACGCTCATATCAAGTTGATTTACACCAGGTACATTTCTCATTTGAACTCTCCCAGAAATGTAGAACAAATTAAATGCCGTTTGTCTATTGGAATGCAGGTGAAATGGGCTGATATAGCAGCCAGAATTTCGTGGCCGGTAGAGAGCCAGAGTTCGAGGACCTAGTGAAGTAGAGAGCTTGAGTGGCTCCAACATTTTACGGAATGTTACTCAGGCACAACACAGACGCCAAGGAGAAGACGTCTGCGGGAAGACAGTATCCTGTGTCCCATTGTAATGTAGTTGAACGTTTTATTACAAGGCAACTTGAGAGTATTCAAGGAGAACCCATTGGCTGGATTTGGTTTGACTGTTCTCATTACTTAGTGAAATGCTCCGAAATCAAGTATTTGACCGTCGAGGAGAGGAGATTAACTGCTAGGAAGCCGAATGTTTGTAACGTTTGACTCAAATTAGGCGATATTGCAGGATATTGTCCTTCACGAAATAAGTGTAATGTGGATTTGTGTGAGGTATACATACGAGTGTGCAGCTTGATAGTCAACTGTTTGAAAAGAGTCTCTTCGCTGAATCGCTTATTTTGATCTTCTAAATATGCAGATGGAAACTTCCAAACGAGACGTCTACTTCACAATGCAGATAATTTCTGTTGGTGAAAATATATTACCTCGTCATTCTGTTGTTAGTGTTTTACGCCTTGAAATTACAGAATTCCCGGGACTAGTGAATACATAACTGACGTAACTGGTACCAGTGATTCGGCCTACCAACATGTTATCTCATTGGTACGACTACGGTCAATACTGCCGAATACTTGAACTCTGAGTGCTGAAGCGTTGATATCAAGTTACATGGCAACCCATTCAGCAACACAATGTTCAAATGAATCAAATTCGAATTTTTCCATATTTTATAATCATTCAGTTAGCCAAAAAGCAATGCCGATACTCCTGATACGATAAAAGTAATTTGGCTGATCTCAATGACACCGTTACCGAATGGAAAACTTCCTAACTGATGAATCTAAATGCCCAAGTATATACACCATCCATCATGTTACATGTGAATATGTTTACTCAGACTGAAAATCCCGAATTCATCTGATCAGTCAGAATAAGCTGAATATTTGAATGATAAAATTGTATTTAAAAGAAAGACATTAAGCGTCATTATGAAAATTAGTTATTTAGTTAAAAGTGTTCATGAAATCCACAGCACACGATTACATTTCAATAATGTGCAGAATACACGTTTCCCATGCTAGCGAGAGTAATAGATTCATATTCGTCACTAGTTTCTTCCTCCTACTCCTGTAGAGAAAATAAAAGAAGATGAACATTAGTGAATTCACGAGGAAGTAAACCACACTGAATGTTGTCAGTATTGCAAGAGACACGGAGAAGTCCACCAGGTATGATTGTGACTGAGGGTGTATTAGGAAAGTCTGACATGGTTCAAAATGACTTGACTACAATTGGTGTTCAACTGGGAAGAAGTTGTCAGTTGGGTTTTGTTAACTGTCAAATCTACGATACATTGACTGATTCTCTTCAAACCACTAGATATAATTTCATATGACATGACATGTATAAATTGGTGGTCGACCGAATGACACAACCCTCGTCCCTGGTGTTCAAAATACAAATAATATTGTATTTACAAGGATTGGATTTAGATTACAGTAGTACATATTTATTTTTAAAGACAGGATGACAGTGTCTCTCATCAGTCAATTTTGGAAGATAAAATGTGGAAATTTCATACGAGATAGTAGGTAAATCTTACGTTTCAACCTCTTGATGGCAGTTTCATGAATTTTCTTCATCACTTGAAAGTAAAAGAGCGATATAAAGGTGGCGGATTAGTGGATTGAAAGCTAACGCTGTTCGTCATTGTATAACTTCCTTCTCCTACAACTGATGAAATCTGATCGATAGGAATAAAATGCATTGAATAAGTTCGTTTGTCTAGAAAATGTTTGATGAAAGACAAATCATGCTAAATCGGTCAGCACTTCTTGTATTGTGATGACACTCATGTGTAGGTGGGTCATTGATAAAGACTAGTGAGCGGTAGTTATTCCGACATCTGCGTTGTGTCGACGATTCACTGTCGTTGTCGCTGTTGTTTTTGACTTTTTCAAATGTATTGATTAGCCTCCCTGATGTGTATGAATACACACGTGAACACATTGGACAGTTTCTTCTGAGCCTAATTCCGTTTACCACTGTCTCCTAAATTTACTCTGGTCATGCAAACACTTATACTGATCTAGTTGCTTCTTTACATTTCCACGCTGCGTAAAATAGTGATTGTCAAAAAATGTTTGTGTTTCGAGCGTTTTAACGATTTCAACTTGAAGTGTCATTCGATAGTGGACATTTCAGATTATCTTAGTTTTCTGTGATCGGTTGACATTCTTCAGTGAACAGACCTATATACAACCAAACGTTGTGTACCGACTACTAATTGATGGACAGTTTTCCGGAAACTTCGACATTTCAAGATGAATATATGCTATTGATTTCAGTTGTAAATACAAAACCGTTGTCGAGCGAGCAATGCTCGTGTTATCTCCAAGAGGCATGCGCATAATACGATCGCTGATTGCACAGAATACCAAGTTATCTTTTGTTTGCGAATAGATGTTGACGAATATATGGAGTGAATAAAACCCATAAAGGAGACAGAGTGAACTTACAAATGGTTTTACCATAGAGGTATTTCTGTTTATATGAGTCTATTATTTTACTCTTCAATGTCGCAAATTCTCTGTTGTACTCGAGATTCTGAGGATCTGAAATTTGTAAGATAATGTCTGCATTTTACGATTGAATGTCACAGAATCAAATGGTGAAAGGTGATCATGCAGAATACTGTGAAACAATTGTTGGTTCGGTATAATGTGTCGTTGTCTAAGCAGACAAATAACTCGTCTATGTGTTCACTCACTTGATTGTCTTTGAAGACAGTCAAAACACTTTGGAAAACTATTACACTGGCTTATTATTATTTCTTGTCATGTGTTGAAATCGCAAAACTTCAACTTCACCATTATTGGTGGACTGCCAACTCCATCTCATATGTCAATGTACAAGAATGTTTGAGTTACATTAACTGCAGTCTCGACTGCATCGGATGGATTCACCGATTTCAGACTTCAAGTCATTGCCCTTCACAGATGTAGTGTGTGACAGAGAACTAGAAAGGAATGCAATAAGATTTCACACTTGATATTGCATCCTGAACATTTGTAGTCCAACTTCCAATTCACTGACAACACTATCAGATCGAAAAGTAGGTGTATTCTGTCAAGCGAACTTCTATGAGAATACATTCGAATTTCGACAATTAAGACTGTGAAATTCATAAATTTATTTTGAACATCTTCCGATGCAGTAATCTTACATAATTTATTTCAACTAAAAGTTGTCAATATTGGATTACCTCCTCCGTGAATTGACGGTCTGAAGACGTCACAGTCAAGTTTTTCTTGTGTTTTCAACTTGGCTGATGAATAAATAGAAGAAAAGAACAGGACATTGAAACAATGAGAAGTTAAACACTCACTGATTTTGACATTAATATCAAATACTCATGCAACTAGAGGCGTTTCGAATAGCAAAACTTCACGCAAATCAATATGAACTGAGTTATCTTGAGCAAGATATCTTCACTGCTAACTGTTTGCTTTGTACCTGAAATGATCAGGAGTGTTCGAAATTGAAATTGACACCGACGTAACAGATAACTTTAGGTGGGAATGTTTATTGGATAAGTGGGAAAAGGGAATGCAAAGCTAAACTGTTTACCTGAGTAAGCATCATTTTCTTCCTGGACACATTGATGAAGAGAATGTTCCTCTGTGTAGGGACCTGTACGTAAACGTATTTCAAACAAGATATCAATTCATGTTCACTATGATTCAACAGTATTGTTAGATAAATGTGGGAATTTATCTCTTGGACTGTTGGTGAATGGAATCTATTCTGAAACGAATATATGAACACAGGTAATTATTCTCGATAATTCTGGTTTCACATTGTGCAGTGACACACAAACACATTGATGAGTGGCCAGTGAAATAAATATCTGATGGGAATTTCGAAGAAGACCATGTGTTGTGGAAGAATGATTGCTGGCAGTGGGTAGTACTAATTCCGATTGATTGTTGAAGTAGTAATGAAGGAAGTATTTTGGATGGAGTGGTCTGGGAGAGTATGGAAAGATGGTACAATGGATGTAAAGTATAGGGTGAGCATCATTCAATTCGATTATGAACTGACTACATGATGACCAAAGAAAACTTCAACGCTTGGATGCAGTATATATGTGTTTATATACTGAATGCAGACAAAGTGATAACAACCACACATGAAGTCAGTTGACACAAATTCAATTTACCATATTCCTCAGGCTGATACATAATTCCATTCTTGACATCTGGAAAGACAGAAAATGATAACTGACATTCAGAGATTATGCAAAAGAATAATTGTTAAAACAGAATTATCCACTGAAATGGTTCTGGATAAACTTCATAATTGGATAATTTCATGGTATAATTAGGCATGATTTATCAATCTCTACTATTCATTATCACAATGCAACTGCATTGACCAGCTTGCAACATCCAATTCTGGTGAGATTTATTACTCCCAATCACTTCTAAAGACACAAATGTTCCTCTTCAAACAGCGATCTCCAGTTAGGCTGTTTTCACTCAACTTTGAAATGACTATGTTCATCGATTGAATAAATTCTACTTTTCATCGGAATGGCTAGTTGACGTCATTTGCTCACGGCTCAAAATCTGCGCCTAAGTGCTTTTAATTGATGCATGACTTTTGCGTTGCAGATTGAAGGATGTGGAGAACATCTCCAGGAGAGTAGAAGTGAAATTCCCTGAACGGTTGGAATAAACCTGCAACACACCTGTGAATAATATTTGTCCCATTCTGGTTTTGTAAAATCGTGTCCAACAGCCAATATCTGAAAGAGTTTGTTAGTCATCGAAATTCAAATAAAATTCACTCACAGATATCAACTTTGTCGTTGACGGTTCCCGCAGTTTGATTGTAAATCTTATCTAGTAAAAGAGAGAAGTAGGTAGATCGATTGCATGAAACCGGACACATCTATACAATTGAACATTTACTATGTACAAAACAGCGAGCAAATTTGCTATTGTTGGAGCACGCCAACGCCGTGTTGTATTCACTTTACAACAGAATGAACGTCACGAACGTGAACGTGTGAAATGTTTTCGATCGGAATGAATATGAATAAATGTGAAGTGAATTAAGAAATCAGGTAGACGCGTGTTGATGATTTCATCATATTTTGCATGGCGTTGATTTGAAATCTTCACTTGAGTAAGTCTCATTTAAACTGGCCTCATGTGTCCTAAATTTTGAAAATGAAAGCATTTCCACAAAACAGCCTATGAGGAGAAACTCCTGAAGAATTTAACAAACATCTCATGTGAACTTGAGATGCAGAAGTCGAGTAGACCATGTCAAATTATTAATCACACGAAATAATTGTCAGTTGGAATAATTGTTTACCTCGGAGTTGTTTAACCTCTGCTTCAGTATCATTAATCGACTGAGCTAATCTGGGTAATTCATCTATGAAGAAGAAAGCGAGAACAATATTGAATGAATTGCAAGAGACGAATTTTAGAAGCGATAGGATGTGACGAAGCGTCGAGAAACAGTACCTACAGAAAAGCTTATGTAGGATAACATAAGAAAAATTATAAACCCATATAAAGTCAATTGTCTTACCTTGAGACTTAGAAAGCAACTTTTCAATGTCTTTTAACGTAGATGGTTCGCCTTGAAAATTGACAAAGGGAAGAAAGAGCAGCGATTGTTATAAAAGCAAAAACTTCAATAACACGTAAATAGGATGCAAGAATTTGTTCATTTCAAACGAATTGTTAGCAATGTCAGTATTTCGTGTTTTTCTTTGGATGTTTAAAACACCTCAGTGAGCAGAACACCAGTTGGACTATTCAACTTCATTGAAAGCATACAATGAAATGTTTAGGCCACTCACGCTCTAATTCAGAAACGGAGAGAATTATTATTCATCATTGAAGGAAAGTGATTTGTCAAAGCGATGGTGAGACTGGTGTTGGATACATAATCAGTTTTCGCTCAGAAATATGATCATGGAATAGTCTTACATAATAGTGATAGGATGGAACAGTAATATTCATCATAATGTAAAACAGGTTAATTTGAGAATATTGAGTCATTTTAATATATACTTACCTTCGTATGCAGTGGCAAATACCAGCAGCGTTATCGCAGATATGTAACTGAACTTTGAGCTGAACATATTCTCTTCTTCTTCTTCTTGTGTTTTCTCTGGCTTAACTCTTCAACTTTTATACTGTTCCTGGTGGTGAGTTGTAGTGTTGTAATGCGTTTGTCAGTAGATAAACATACTACTGCTTAGTTGTTTTTCATTTGTTAAAATTGGTCAGTGTGTTGATCAGCTGTCGATGGTTGACTGAGCGGGTGGGTGCGTGAGTGAATGAGTGAGTGGGTTGGTGGGTAGGTGAATTTTCAGCACCATCACCATGTACTTGTTTTGACGCTAGAATGAATATTCCCCCTGTACAACAAGTCAGTCTTATTGCACAATTCCTGCTTGATGTTCACGAAGCTCTAGGGTAAGTGTAATGTTTATCCATCTGGTTAATAAAAGACAATTCAGCGAAGAAAAATTTCTTTACAAATGAAATCATCTTCAGAGGCTGTACAGTCGTATGTACATTTATCGAAAATGTCTAGTAGTTCAGTATTGAGTGACACAATTGATGAAATCACTGAGAAGTGGTTTCAAAAGTAGAAATAAATGCTCCAAAATGCGTCAGAATTTGGGTATATTTGAAATTGTTATTGGAAGGGAAGAAAGGTAATTGAGTGTCAATTTAACAAGTACGCAGAGTTTGAGAAAACGTACGAAAGTAACATTTGGGAGTCATAATGGTGAATAAGCAATTGAAGCAGAAGCAAACTTTTCATTAAAAATACAAAGTATGCAGGAAACGACTAATGAAGAGAATAAGACCATGGTAGAATAAGAAACTGAACAAACGTTTTCTGTATACAGAGTTCGCGGTTGTATTGATGAATAGCCAGCGCCTCTGCCATGCACAAAAGCCTGAATCTGACGCCCTTTGTACCATTTGGCTTCACCTTGTAGATGAACTTCAAAGACGACTCTGGTGGAGCTGTATGGCTTAAGCTCACCAAGTGCTCGAGAATTGAGCCAGTAACTCTCTTGCATTGTCATTTTGCTAACCATGACGGATAATGTTCAGAGATGCGTTTGGGAAGTGTGCGTTCTGTGTGGCCAATATAACTAGCGCCACACGAGCAGGTGAATTTATCAATACACATTGAAGTGGCTCAAAGTGGCAGTTCATCCTTCACACATTCCTCGATCATTTGTTAGCTGTAGAGATTGATCCGTAGCTCAGCCGAAAAGAAGGCTTTTCTCAGTAATGTGGATAAGCGGGACTTCAGGAACTCAGCTGCCGCATCATCTCTAAATTCAACGTTCATGAAAATCAGTTTGTTCGGCACCATCTGGGTTCTTTCAGGTTTTTGATACAATTTCGTGTTTCTCTCAATGATTCACGATAGATATCCATTTTCCATGAAGAATCGTTTGAGACTCTCCGGTTTATCGACGAATATATCAGTGGTACATATTCTTCTTATTCTTCAGGATAAGTGTGAATCAGACTGCGATTTCTAAGGGACACTCAAATATTTGAATGCATGCATTGAACATTCCGTGGTGACTATCCATGGAATATCACCTGAAGAGAACCATCACGCATCCCATTAGATATCCCGATGACTAACCTCAGAATTGAAATTCGTCAACATTAGAATTAGCAATCTAACTGGAAATGACAATCCATTGACAAATTATAACAATCACAAGGATTCTCCCTGAATATTTTGCACATCAGCTTGTAAACATCAGTATCTCACTGTGTATTCCTGAGAGAATTGCGTAGTTAACGGAAGCAATTTTTGTGTCTGAATATCTTAATTGTTCCAGTAGTGAGTAAGTTATGCCAGTCGTTAGTCGCTTTCCTAGCGATCCACCCATGAATTTGTTGAGCACTGGCGTCGTTTGTTTCACAGATTATTACAATTACCTCCGGGTAACTAGCTTGCTAGTAAACTAAACTGTCCATAGCTCGATGAATAAGGAGGCTTGAGCTTGTGTCCTGGTACCTAACACTACAAAATCAATCAAACCGTCACGGAAACTTCAACGCAACACGATAAGTTTCAAATATCAAATGAATATCAATAATCATTCTACTCTAATTACTGGTGACCATAGACTGTTACTGCTTGACAGTAATTTATGCGATTTAGTTGGAGTTCAATGCCAGATCCGTCTTCATATTTTCACATGAGGATACCACAGCTATCGAGAAGCAGGCTCCACATTTGTTCTGAACGGTCGATACTGACTCGAACATCGGTGACAGAGAGATCATAAACACCGGATTATTAATCCTCATTGAAGAAAAGTGATATGTCAAGGTGATACTGAAAGTGGTGTTGGAGACACAATCAGTTTTCATTCAGAAACATAATGACGGAATAGTCTTACAAAATACTGATAGGATATAAGAATAACATCCATCATAATGTGAAACGGCTAAATTTGAAAATATTGAGTAACCAATGCAAAGTCACTTCAATGTATACCTACTTATATCGGTTTATGGCGGGAAATGCCAGCAGTGCCATTGCAGATTGTGTGACGCTATGTTCTGAAAGCACGTCGAACAACGACGTTTCACTGCCTGTAAATAACATTCACAAATGATGTCTGAGAATGTGTGCCACGTCAAAATGACTTGCAGAATGTGCAGTTGCTTTCGGAACCTCAGAATTCTCAGGGTAATAGATAGTCACTTCGATAACATTTCAAACTAGGCTTACTCGTTGTACAATGACTGTCACTAAACCTGATTCGTGTGAATAAGTCAGCGAAACTGCAAGAGATGAAGGACAGTAAACTGAACAGTTCAATCGAAGTTAACAGAAGGAAGATCTGAGAAATTGTGTGCTCTCAATACGGATAGAAATATTCAATGCAACATTCATCCAGGAGTAATTTTGTCAAATGACTCAGGTGATAGTAGGAATGGTGTTTGTAAATATTCAGAATATCCAGCTTACATCAGTGTTCCGTGAAATATATTCACTAGGTCTTCATTCAGACATATGACACGGAAAACCAAGGTTGGTAGATGTATCGATCAACAAATAAGAGATTCTAGGCTAATGCAATAATCTGGGGAAATGGAGACACAAGTTCTCGACACAGTCATGGGTCGGTCGTCAGGATAGCAACTAACGACCGGCATAACTTATCCACTACTCGCACACTAAAGATAGTCAGACACAGAAATTGGGTACGTTAACTACGGAATTCCCTCAGGAATACACAGTGAGATACTGATGTTTCCAAGCTGATGAGAACTAGCCCAATATTAAGTAAAGACAGTCCACATAACAGGTCTTCATAAGCCACACAATGTGGATCACGTTTGCTTTGAATCTACCACGGTGACTGGTAGCTCTCAAATTATTATCTGGTGTGTGCTTTGATTATATGATTGAAATCATCATCTTCGTTACGATATTCTTGATTCTAATTTCTCAAAATGTTCCCCACAAAAGCTAACACAAATCATAGAAGACGAACAGGTGTATTCAGCACTCACTTCGATGAATATCTCACGAAAAGTGTTGAGATGTATTAGAAGACGGTGCACGATAAACTGTGAGTGGTCTCGTCTCAGTGTGAGTACCAGTATTCTCACTGTTATCACGTGATGCGAGAAGCCATGTCAGTTCCACGAATCCGATCACCATTTCTCGCAGCCATCTACTCTGATATCTCAACGCATCACACAGAGATCCTTCCCTCCTCTACTCTCTTTTAACAACGTGATGCTAATTGTGTAAAGAGGAAGTAGACTCAACTGAATGAAAATGTTTGTGTGATTTGTGAACATCTACAAAATACACAGGAATGTGACCTAATTAGTAAAGAGTATTTCTTCTCTCAAAATACTTCACCATACACAAGTATTGATTGAAAACAAATGAATGGTACGATGGTGAAACAGACTACAAGAATCACTCTCTCATATGTAGACTGGTGATCACTGATTACAGATAGTATTTAGCTGGTCGCCTAATTACTAAAACAGCACAGCTATCTATCATCGTACGATTCAATATTTCACGTTCTCATCAACAACACTGTTGTAATTAGAGCTGACAAAATTGTACAAGTCACTTTCTCATTCAATAATTTGTATACTGATTTAGGTAGAAATCTACTTTATGTAATTCAGACTATGTGGATCAAGAAGAGCAGTGAGTAGTAGTTTCAGTAGTCTCAGTAGTCTCAGTGGTAGTAATAATGATTGTCGATGATATGGTGACAGAGAGCCACACGGGTATGAGTGAACATTGATGCTGGCTTTGTCTCTCAGCTCTTCTCATCAGGAGAGATAATTGACAAACTCGTCGGGAGTTCCATCAGCCCACTCCATATTGACAAATTCAGTGAACGCATTGTTGTGGAGGACAACGAAATCTTCACAACTGAGCCATACAGTTAGGAGAAGACTGTCCAACAATAATTGTTCCGGACACCCTCCTCAACGATGTCCTTTTAATATACAGTCTGTGTATACTTTTCACTGGGTTGCAACTCTGTTCCACCAAAGTCAGCGGGAATCTAGACACGTCAGATTATTTCACATAATGACCGGATGGCAATTGTGCACAGATCAAACACGAACTGCATCCGTGTCACACATTCTGTCGTTCAAATGTTAAGCTTGTCTCGACTGATCAGATGAATTCCGTGTTCTCAGTCTGAGTCATTTGCATACCTATCGAAGTTGATAAACTCACACTTCACATGATGTTGTATACAACTCTTCGTTTCGATTCATCAGTGAAGAATATTTCAAATTGCTGTCATTATGATTGAAATGTGTTAAATTATCTCTGAAGTATCTCCAAGAATGATCTCGTAAGACCTTATCATCATATTCATGTCTATGCATATGACGTTTCATGAGCCACTATTACTACACCATTCATCTAATACGAACACGTCCGCATGCCTTTTGGGCCAATTAACGCATCCCAGATATTTCAGCGTCTGAATGACTCACTACTCCGTGGTAATCCCTTCGTGTATGCATACATTGACAACTCACTCCTTTTTGAGTGCAGATGAGGCTAAACATCTGAAACGTGTGAAGACTCTGTTCGAAAGACTTCATCCGTATGGGATGGTCGTTGACTTACACAAATGTGAATTCCACAAGATATCATTCAAATTACTCGGCCATTTGATCGAC